CTTTGAGCCAATCTGAATGTTCAAAGCATCCTGCTTTGTATTGCCTTGCCTTTTCCCCTCAGCCAGAGATACCACACTCACATTATTGCTGCATTGGCCTGTTGTTTAACGCAGGAGCATATCAGTTGCCAGCAGTCCTCAGTCAACCTAAGAGAGATAGCCTTCAGTCTATGGTCCCAATACAGTAAGTCAAAGGCAGTCTCTGATACCAGTCCTGGGGCTTGGACATGGTCAGTCAGCTGCTCAGGGCCGTCAAATTCAGCATCCTCTCCACTTGAACGGTGAGGAGACAGCCCACCACCTCCATGTTAACATTTTTTGACATATTTTGGGCTGTTTTCCTCCTGGAATGAGGAAAGAGACAGATATTAAGGGAGTTGAAAATGGCTGTAATTGCTGACGCATGTGCAGAGCTGTCCCAAGCAAGTGACAGCGAAAGAGGGAATTTTTTATAAGCAACAATGAGAGTGGTATTTTGTACTCACCTGTAAGAATGATGTAATCAAGATACTACGTAAATTTTAAATTGTCTCCCGGCTTATTTGTTTCATTCCTTCAGAAATGAATATCCACCACTTTTTAATGGTCTTATCAAGTTTTTGTGGCACCCTTTATTGGCTTATACATCTGAATTCCCAGATCTCGTTCTACGTCTCTGCCCTTTCTAATTTCCTATCTTCAAGAATGAAGTTTCCACTTTTTATTCTTACTGCCTTAGTGAGTTTGATTTGCCATTGATCTACCCATTTTGCACTCCTGTTTATTTATAGCCTTGAATTTAGTATCTTCTGTAAATTACAACAATGTATTCCCAAACTGAGTTAAAATCATTCAGTGAATAACTGTGATCTGTCCCTACCAAACAATTCTTCCACTTTCGAACAGTCTGAGAAGCTAGCTTTAACCCTTCCCTGTCTATTTTTTGTTTTCTAACCATCATTAATTGAAAATCAAGCAAAAACCTGCAAAGCAATCACAACAATTTCCAAACCTCAATGAGAAAGCAACATATTTCCTATCTTAAAATAAAAGCAAAAAAATTGGAGTGCGGGAAAGCTGAAACAAACACAGAAAAAGCTGGAGAAACTCAGCAGGTCTGGCAGCTTCAGTACCTAAGGAATTACAAATGGTGCTGCACATTGTGCAGTCATCGACAAACATCCCCATTCTAAACTTATGATGGAGGGAAGGTAATTGATGAAGCAGATGAAGGAGGTCGGGGCTAGGACATTACCTAGAGAAACTCCTGCAGAGATGTCCTGGAGCTGAGATGACTGACATCCTACAACCACAACCATCTTCCTCTGTGCCAGATATGATTCCAAACAATGGAGAGTTTTCCTCAATTCCTATTGAGTCTAGTGTTTCTAGGGTTTCTTGCAGCCACACTCAGACAAATGCAGACTTGATGTCAACAGCTGTCACTATCCCTTCAGGTTGTAACGAAGTCAGAAGCTGGGTGGCTCCAGCAGAACCTGAACTGGGCTTCACTCAGCAGGTTATTGCTGAACAGGTGCTGCTTGAAAGTGCTGTTGATGGCACATTCCATCATTTTACTGATGATTATTAGTAGACTGATGAGGTGATAATTGGGCAGACTAGATCTGTCCTGCTTTTGGTATACAGGGCAAACCTGGGTAGATGCCAGTGTTGTAGCTGTACTGGAACAGCTTGGCTAAGAAAGTGGCAGTTTCTGAAGCACATGTCTTCAGTACTATTGCCAGAATGTTTACCAGGCCCGCAACATTTACTGTATCCAGTGCCTTCAGCCATTTTGTGATTTCACATACAGTGAATCAGATTAACTTAAGACTTCCACATTTGATATTGGTGACCTTTGAAAGGCGCTGAGATGGATCATCCACGCAGCACTTCTGGCTGAAGTTTATTGTCAGTGCTGCAGCCTTTTCTTTTGCAGCGATGGATTTTGCATCGGAGGCATTTCAGAGAAGGTTCACTCGTTTGGTTCCTGGGATGAAGGTATAGCCTTGAAATGAGGCCAAAGGGTGTTGGGGGTCTGGAATGCGCTGCCTGGGAGGGTAGTTGAGGCAGTTAACCTCACAAAGTACTTCAAAAAGTACTTGGATGAATACTTGAAGTGTCATAACATACAAGGCTGTGGAGCTAGTTTGGGCTAATAGAACTAATGTTAAGTAGTGGTGTATTTTTGGTGGTATAGACTCAATGGGCTGAAGGGCCTTCTGTTCTGTAGGATTCTATGATTCTATGACAGTCCCATCATTCTGGGAACAGGTTTGGAAGGTGTAGTATGAATTTTTTTGAATAAAGGAAGCTTATAGTGGAGTCTCTGGGGGTCTAAATCACTGCAAGGTTGCAGCACCTTAGAATCATAGAACCCTTACAGCATGGAAGCAGGCCATTCAGCCCATCGACTCCACACCAATCCTCTGAAGAGCCCAAATCCACACCCTCATCCTGTCCCTGTAACCCTGCTAACCCATCCATCCTGCACACCACGGGGCAATTTAGTATAACCAATCCACCTACCCTGCATATCTTTGGATTGTGGTCGGAAACTGGAGCACCTGGAGGGAAACCTGCGCAGACATGGGGAGAATGTGCAAACTCCACACATACAGTTACCCAAGAGTGGAATCAAACGCTGGTGCTGTGAGGCAGCAGTGCCAACCCCTGAGCCACTATGCCACCAATGTTGGAATCCTTGCTTGATGCATATTAACGACTAGACCTAAATGTACAGGGTTCAGTTTCAAACATTGCAGTTGATCCAAAACTTTGAAGTATTGTGAATCGTGTGATAGTGTAGAACTTTAAAAGCACACAGATAGGTTGGTAGAATGGGCAGACAAGTGGGAGATAAAAAAACTTGGATGAATGTTGACTGACCAGACCCCTGACCAATCACTGCACATCTCTCTGACTGATGATCTGTTAATCCCCTGACTGATTACAGCAGATCTGCAGGATTAACTGTAGCCCATTCCCCAAACTACAGTGAGATGAACCCCTGACTCAAACCGGCCCCAGCAGATATCTGACCACCCCAGCCTCTGGACTGACTGGGGAAACTGCCATTGACTGACTGTAATATTCAAGTAATTGAAGAATCTGATAAGGAAATAATTCCTGGAAGAAATAAAATGATCCAAAGAAAACTATTGAAGTGCAAGTTAGATACAAGTAGGCGTATGAGTTCTCTTGGATACAGTGCAGCAGCTAAACAAGATTCCCTCCAATCATTCACTAATTGGGTCCTGGGACCAAGAGACATTCAAATGAAAGTAAAAGATCATTTTTCTGAAGAAGGGTCCAGACTCGAAACGTCAGCTTTCCTGTTCCTCTGATGCTGCTTGGCCTGCTGTGTTCATCCAGCTCTTCACCTTGTTATCTCAGATTCTCCAGCATTGGCAGTTCCTACTATCTCCAAAGTAAAAGATCAGTTGTCTGGCAATGCAGCACAAAGATTGAGCAAACACTAAGACTCTAAATGTGATTCAGAATGGTTCATTGATAAGCAAGAAAGCTTGTGCAGCCCTGTGACTTATTCACAAGGTTGACAAAGTGGACAGTGAAGAAAACAAGAAAGACTCAAAGCAGAATTCCCACAATAGTTCAACTGAACTTGGAAATCTAGATAGATTCCTATACTACGTTAAGAGCAGGTGCCAAGTCAGTATGCTCATTCTCACCAAGAAACGTTATGTACCCAGTTATGAAGAAAGTAAGATGTGGAAACAAAGCAATGCTACAGCATGGAATGGTTTCACCAATGAATTGATGTTCTGGTGTGACGTCAGTGTCAAAGCCAAATGGCTCACCATAAATTTGTGTGGACATCATCCAACTTAACAAGGCAATGGAGAGAGGAGTTCACCCTATGGCATCAGTGGATGAGAGTCTGGGTAAACTAGCAAAAGGCATAAGTTTCACCAAACTCGAGAGTGGCCTTTGGCAACTCCCAATGGACAAAGAATCTGAACTATTGGTAATGTTCATCACATTGTTTGGAAGCCACTGCTTTAATCATTTATCTGTCAGCATTATAACATCTCCAGGATTTTTTTCAAAGAACAATGATAAAAAAACTGGGAAGGATTAGAAGAGGTTAGCTTGGGATTCTTCAGATTCTCGGGACATATTGTCAATTCAACAGACATCAGAGAGAATCCAAGAGCTACCAAAGAGTTCGCAATACCTTGAAAATGTCCACAGAACTCTGAAGATCCATGTAATGGCTTTTTGTTGAAGAAGTGGAGCCTTATTTTGTTGACTACCAGCTCTTTACCCGCAACAATGATTCAATGCAAGAGGCTCAAAAAAGTGAAGAGTGTGTACAGCTCTATGCATACTAAAGGATCACTGTACAACAGATGCAAAGTCAGTATGCTCATTCGCACCAAGAAAAGTTCTGCACCCACTTATGAAGAAAGTAAGGTGTGGAAAAAAGCAATGCTACAGCATGGAATTGTTTCACCAGTGAATAACTCAGCGAATTGGTGTTCTGTACAATCTGACACCATCTGGAAAGATTACTTTCTGTTCCAGGGAGGTGGTAATGAGAAAGGAACCCTCAATGGAATGGACCGGCTATCCAGAAGTCCAAGAAGACAACCTAAATTATGAGCTGGTATTCTCTGATGGTACAAACACTGAGAATAAATGGAAACTTGCAGAACAAAGATACTGAATCACCTCCTAGAGAGCTGAGAACAAGATTACAGAGAATGGTGATACCACCACAGGACTTACATTTATGAGGCAGAGACAAAGACAAGATATGGTGGGAAGAGGGCAGGATAGATGCAGGGTAACACAAATCATGGATAGAGTGATTGATATAGGAGAGAGATGTAAAGGATCAAATTGCCAAATAGTCTGTCAACACTCACTGTTTAGGATCAGGTCTGAAACATGATCAGTTTGATGGTGTTGGAGAAGTTTACACAAGTTTGGGTCTCTGATTCCAGGGGAAACTGACAAAGGATAAGAGGACAAAAAGAAACAAACACAACAATAGCTAAGTACTAACACTGTTTATTGAATCTGATCGTACTCACGTATGTAATGTCAACTTAAATGCTGGGCTACATATTTTCCTTTACATCTTTTTATTCATTAATGCTCGTGCTCAGTTCCACCCGTATGTCGGGCATTACGGACCCTTTTAACTTTGTACAATTGAAACTTGGAAAAATAAAAATTTTCTTTAAAAAAAATTCCGTTCTCACTCTCCCAGCAGTCTGCCTGAGAGAATCAATTAACGGTAGTGAAGGAGCCTGTCTCCGAAACCCCAACCTTGGCGTTTATTATTTTGGGATGGCGGGAAGGGTTGGGAAAATCTGTTAATGGAAACAAAAACATTAAAAAGCGTCCTCATTAGAGAGCTACTCAGCCAGGAAAAGAAAAATTGAAGTTCTTTTGAAAGAGCAGTCTTTTTTACCAAACAATTTGTTCCCTTTTATTCCAAAGCTTGAGGCTGTGTGTGGAACAAAATGTCTCCGTGAGCAAAACAATAACTAGCCACCAATGTCCTCACCATGGCCATTTCTGCATAGTTCCCCAGGGCATTGAATAATCTTCGTTATTTTTGTTGAATGTACTAAGAGGTCTCCCTTGGCATTTTATTACAGTCATGTCATCAGCAATGTATGAGAGGGAAAGTGTCAGGGAATAAGTGTGGCACATGGGAGCTATGTAGGGCTATGTAAGGACCAGAAATGAGGTGGAGAAATCGCCACAGTACTGGATTAACTGAATGAACTTCACCATAGTTGCATGAGACCTACACTGGCGAGAATCAGGTCGTACTAAGTTTCAGATCTGATGTAAATGCACGTGTTTCTCTTGTTAAGATCTTTATATTGATATTTTTAAAAAAATAATCGGTCATCTGTGAATGTTACATGATGAAAGGGAAACAAAAGAAAAAGTTAAAAAGGCACCAGAGCTATATCATTAGTCTCTGAATTCATCTCCAAAAAGCTTAGGCCAGCTAACACCATGTGCTAAATGGACTTCATACAGGAATTTTCCAGGACTGCCTGAACGTAGGCCGAATCTGCAGTGGGTTTCCATAGAAACCGATAGACTTCTTAACGATTTGCAGCCTCGGTGCTGCCAGAGTCACATGATTCATTAGTTTCTCTTGTTCACCATTTGTTGCCGTAGTCTGTCTCTCTTTTTCTTTTCGATGAGTCTGCAAGGAAAAACAAATGAAAGAAACAAATAATGGATCACTTAATTATCACTCAGTCCAGCACAAAAGACGGGTGTATTTTCCTTTTGAGCTCATTGAAATCTTTGTGAGTAGCAACACTTTCCATTTCAAATACTGTTGACAGCACCTGGCATTCCTGAGTCAGATGACGTACAGCCATGTGCCAACCATGGGTCAGTGACACAATTTCACTTTGGAGATAAAGGTTGTGGGTTAAGGCTTTGTTCCAGAAAGTTGAGCACAAAAATCTATGCTGTCATTTAGGTGCAGAACTGAGAAACTGAATTGTTTTTTCGACCTGATAAATCGGCCTTATTTGCCCTCTCAGTAATCTATTAAAGAACCTATGGCACTACTCAAAGAAGAACAGAAAAGTTTTGAATGCGATATTGAGAGAGAAAAAGAGAGGGAAAGAAAAGAAGGTTAGATTATGAAAGACAAATTAACATAAAGGAAAAATATCAATATTTAATCTTTTAAAATCTGAAACAACTTATTAAATGCAGCGATATGATTGAACAGCTCTAATTGTTTCCACTTTTAGGCTAGTTAGGTTGACTAGCATTGTATTACCATCTAAAAAGGCATTTTTATTGTTAGATTCCTGCTCTAGCTAGCGGCAGCAGGTCTGAAGTGTGATGTAAATGCAAATGCAGGAGATCCTTACAAATGAGGGTAATCTATGATTGAGAAGCCGTTTGTGTGAAGCAATCAGTGACGTAGTGTATATCAACCAGCACATTCTGTAGAACTTCAACTCACCTCATCAACATTTCACTCCCTAAACTTGTCGATTTGTGCATTAATAGCAGCATGCATTATTACTAAATGGTTATTTTCCCAGCAAATTTTGTCCCATTCACGAACCATTTGTGTCAAATTAGTGCTGTATATCCATGGTCACTAGGAATGGACCAAGATTGCATCAACTCATTTTAAAAGGAACCTCATGGAAAGACAAATGACTTTCATCCCATCTATGTGGTGCTAGATTTGAATTTAGGTCCCGAAAGTAAAAAGCCAGTGCATAACCCCCTGCTTGAAATGTTTCTATTCTGGGGCAACTTTACCAAGGACAAACAATAAATGTTTTCAGTACAGAAGACACGATCGGATGATTATGTTATTTCTGGTTCTATCCCCTACCCTTCACTGAAGCACTCATTCCTTTTATCATCTGGTCCCACAGTTATTATAAGGACTCTCTCAGGTGGAATTTTATCAAACTAGCTGAACGCACACACATACACACACACTCTCTCTCTCTCACACACACACACACACACACACCCTCTCTCTGTCACACACACACCCTCTCTCTCTCTCTCTGTCACACACACACACACACACACACACAGCCTCTCTCTCTCTCACACACACATACACACACACCCTCTCTCTCTCTCTCACATATACACACACACACCCTCTCCCTCTTTCACACACACACACATACACCCTCTCTCTCTTTCACACACACACACCCTCTCTCTCCTTCACACGCACACACCCTCTCTCTCTCTCACACACACACACTCTCTCTCACACACACACACACTCTGTCTCCCTCTCTCTCTCTCACACACACACTCTCTCTCACTCACACACACACACACATGCTCTCTCTCACTCACACACACACTCACACTCTCTCTCTCACACCCACACTCACACATTGTCTCTCTCACACACACACACACTCTCTCTCACTCACTCACACACACATGCTCTCTCTCTCACACACACACACACTCTCTCACTCACACACACACATGCTCTCTCTCTCACTCACACACACATACTCTCTCTTTCACTCACACACACTCACTCTCTCTCTCTCACACACACATACTCTCTCTTTCACTCACACACTCACTCTCTCTCTCTCACACACAGTCTCTCATACACACACTCTGTCTCCCTCTCTCTCTCACACACACACCCTCTCTCTCTCTCACTCATACACACACACTCACATACTCTCTCTCTCACACACACACTCTGTTTCCCTCTCTCTCACACACACACACACATCTACATATATTTCCAACAGACTTGCAATTTTATTTACCGTCTGTTTCGAGCTTCAGTTAGCTCCATCAACTGATCCTGCGCAACCCGTAGCTCATCCAGTTGCTGCTGGTACCTGGAGTCACAGCCATTATTCCGTTCAAAACTTGACACCTGACTGGAAAGCTCGTTTGTCCGATCGCGTAGTTGCTGGATGGATGAATAGAGGTTCTCATCGTCTTCCTCCTGTTTGAAGAATGTTTACAGTCTTACACTATTCTGCTTCAATGTCACCCAATCAAGATCTCACACACATATCCTAAATATATGCCATTCTCAGGTGGAACTCTACTCTATTTTAAAGCGTATGTCCTCCAATAACTTTATTTTTGATTTTAAGCAGGTCCATTCAAAGCTGCAGTGACCAATTTTGCTACATCGATAAAGGGAAACTCCAGAAATCTTACCAAAAGATTGATGGTGAAACATGAATGGCCATAATCTGATGTAGTTGTGAGCATAGAAATCTTGGATACAGTTTTAATATTAATTATATATGACGTTGCACAAAGTTTTCTAAAGTAATTGAATAGAAATTTGACAAGGAAAATATTGCTAGGCTCTACAGCAAGAGAGAGGGAGTGGAACTGTTTTCCAAAGAGCTGGCAGCAGCTTGATGGAATAAATGGCTTCCATCTCCATTGTGAGATTCCATTAAACGAAATGCCGTCTTTGAGAAGTCACGGTCAATTCTCGTGACTTAGAAAAGCCTGTGTAGGAAGCGTCACCGGCTGCACAAACTCGGGCACCGGGTTTCAGAGTTCAGGCATGAAGAGTCACTGAAGGGCATCCTTCAGGCAAAGAACTACACGGACCGAACATTCAGAGAGGTGGTCACACTGCAAGTCAATGTGCAGAATTGGGTACACGCCAGGCAACCCAAGAGAAATCGGCACGTTCTGTAGGAGTCCCTAGAGATCCCAATAACTAACCGGTTTATCATTCTGGATAATGGTCAGGGCAATGGATCATTGGAAGCGTGCAGCGAGAGTCAAGTTCATGGTTTTCAGTGGCTCAGCCATACATGTGAGCAGGAAAAACAAGTAGAAGGGTAGTACATGTGGGGGATTCTTTTAGTTAGTGCTTTTCAACATAACTCCAGGATGGTTTGTTGCCTCCTTGATGCTAGGGTCAGGAACGTCACAGAACAGGACATTCTTCTTGGGGACGGTGAACAGCCAGATATCGTGGTCCACATTGGCACTAGCTGCATCGATAGGAATGGGTATGTGGTCCCGTATTTGGAATTTGGGCAGCTAGGCAGAAAATTAGCAACAGGACATCCAAAGTAGTAGTTTCCAGATTACCCCCAGTGCCACATACAAATGACTACAGAAATAGGAAAGTAAGAGAAATGAATTTGTGGCTGGAAGGATGGTACAGGAGGGAGGGATTTAGATTCCTGAGACCCTAGGACTGGTTCTGGGGCAGATGGTATCTGTACAAGCCGGTTGGGTTGCATCTGAACTGAACTGAGATGGAGTTCCTTGTGAGGTGTTTTGTGAGTGCTGTTGCAGATGGTTTCAACTCATTCAGCAGGTGAATGGGAACTAGAAGTGTATATGAGAAAATAATACCAGGGTATACAAAACATGGAAAGAGGCAGATAGCACTAAAGTAGAGAATATTCAGTAGATGGAGTCAGAGTAAGGGAGAAAGTAATGAAGTCTAAATCAGAGTTACACTGCATGTATGTGAATGCTCAGAGTAAAGATTGGGGAGTTGCAGGCACAGACTGCAATATGGGAATTATGACATTGTGATGATAACAAAAACCTGGCTTAAGGAAGGGCTGATTTGGATGTTAAATATTTCTTGGTGCAGGTATTCAGAAATAATAATAAAGTAAAATAAAACAGGGGAAGGTAGAGTTTTGGTTAAGGACAGTATGTCAACACTGGGTGTTACAGAGGGGTCAAGTATAGTATTGATTTGCCTAAGAGCTAAGGAAGAAGAAAGGTGAATTACGTTGCCAGGTGAAATATATACAGCACCAACTAGTGGCAAGGATATAGAGGAACGTATCTGCAAAGGAAATTACAGTGGTGTAAGCATCATAGAAGGGTCCTTAATTACCTGCATATTGTCTGGGGAAGGGGTAATATAAGGGGCAGTGAGGGTTATGCATTTCCAGATTGTATTCAGAAAGGTTTCCACAGCAGTATGTGCTCAGTTCAACAGGAGCGGAGGCACTTCTAGATATGGTTTGTAGACACAAGTGGAACCTTGGCACATTTAAGGGACAGTGATCATTATAAGACTTATGGTGATGGTGCAAAATGCCATGGGTCAAATTGTAGAGTAAGAATAATCAATTAACAGAGAGCAGATTTCAAGGCAGTAAGAGCAGAGCTGGGCAGGATAGACCGCAATGAAATGTTGACAGAAGGAACTGTAGCTGTGAAATAGGCTACCTTCAAGCAAAGATGGTTTGGGTGCAGTCAAGGTGCGTTCCCTCATAAAGGAAAATGTGCCATGATAGATGTCTGGTAGGAAATACAGCTGAGATCCAAGCTGAATATGGTAGGTTCAGAAGGGAACAGAAAAAGAAAATATAAGAAACAAAGAAGAATGATGAGATAAAAAAGACTGTTAACTAAACTAAGAAAAAATTCCAAAATCTTCTATAAGCACATCAATAGCAAAATGGTATTAAAAGAGGGAATGCACTGATTAGGGATCATAAAGGGCATATACACTTAGAGTAAGAGGCATGGCTAAGGTGTTAAATGTATATTTTGTGTTGTTTTTATTTACAAGGCAGCTGCTGCTCAGGCACGGTGATACAGGAGGAAACTCCATCACTAGAAGGATTTAAAATTGAAGTATTGGATATGCTGTCAGTATTTAAAGTTGACAAGGCACTGGGACCAGGTAAGATTCATCCAAGGATATTGAAGAAAGTGAGAGTAGAATTACAACGACATTGGGAATTATTTTTCAATCTTTCCTGGATTTGTAGGTGGTGCCAGAGGAATAGATAATTGTAAACATTATGTACATGCTCAAAAATAGTTGTAAAGATCAGCACAGCAATGACAGACCAGTCAGCTTAACTTTGGTAGTGGGGAACCTATGAGAAACACTTACTCAAGATATAATTAATAGTCACATGGAAAAATGTAGATTGATTCAGAGGACTCAGAATAGATTATTAAGGGAAAATTGTGTCTATCTAACTTTCTTGAGTTTTTTTGAAGAGTAACAGAGAGAATTGATGGCTGTTGACACGGGGTATATGGACTTACAAAAGGATTGTGACACAGTGTCCCACAAAATACTTGTGGGAAAGTTACAGGTCATGGAATATGAAGGACAACAGCAACATGAATATAAAATGGACCGAGAGATATGAAACAAGCAGTAATGATTAATGGTATTTTTTGAGATGAAAGAAAATTTGTGGTGGAGTTTCCTGGGGTCTCTATTGGAACTCTTACTTTTCTTGATTTATATTAGGATTTAACCTACAATTTAAAAGTCTGTAGATGACACAAACTTGAAAGAACTATAAATTGTGAGAAGGACAGTGTAGGCCTTAAAGTACATTGACACATTATTGGAGTAGGCAGATAGGTGGCAGATGCAATTTAATGTGGAGAAGTGTGAGGTGATACACTTTAGTGCAAAGAACTTGGAGAGACAATTTAAATAAAGGGTACTATTCCAAAGGGTATGCAGCATCAGACAGACTTGTCTGTGCACATAAGTAACTAAAGACATCAGGACAAGCAGAGAGAGCCAGCTGTTAATAAATCAAACAGTATTCTAGGCATCACAAATAGCTGCAATGAATAAAAGAGCAGGGAGGTTATGAGGAATTTATATAAGACGCTAGTTAGATCTCAGCTGGTGTATTGTGTACAGTTCTGGGAACCACAATATAGGAAAGATGTGAGTACATTGGAGAGAGTTTACAAGAATGGCTCCAAAAGATTTCAAAAGCATGAGGAGTTTGGACAAAGTAAACAAAGAGAATTTGTTTCCACTCAAAAATAGATTAAGAACCAAATGGCACAGATTTGAAGTGTTTTGCAAAAGAAGCAAATGTGAGATAAGAAAAAACTTTTTCACACCGTGAATAGTTGGAGTCTGGAATGCACTGCCTGGAATTGTGGTGGAGTCAGGTTCAACTGAAGCACGCAAGACAGCATTGGATTATTACGTGCAGACTATCAGGGGAAAGGCAGGATATTAGTACTAAGTTAAAATGTTCAGAGAGGCATGCAGACTGGATGGGATGAATGGCCTCTTGCTGCACTGTAACAATTCGGTGAATCTACCCCACCCATTCCTGCTTTGCAGTGAAAGCAGTTGAGCCACAGCCAGTGAACTGTTTCAGGTAGGATTTTAATTAGTTGTTAGAGAAGGAGAAAGACTCCATGGATTGTAAAAAGAAAGGTTTACTTCTTGATCATTGACAACATAAACCAACACATTGTTGCCATGCGTATTAGAGAATTTGGCAGCAAAGACTGCAAACAATAATTCAAACCATTAATTTAAAGCAGAAAGATAGTCCCAACTCATTCCTGTATTGCTGTGATTGAGAATTCTTTTAGATAGGCATCTATCCCGGAGGACATGAGCAGTTGAGACATATAAAAGTACTAAATTTGGCCTCTTCAATCTATAATTTTTGTTTTGTCACGGCAACGAGGTTTTGCTAGCATTTCACACAATGCTGAATGGCCCTTTAGAAGATTGTAGTGAGCTGTCTTCTTGAACCATTGTGGCTTAACTGATGTAGGTACACCTTCAGTTCTGTTAGGGAAGGGGTCCAGGCTTATGAACCAGCAGCATTAAAGGGACAGCAATAAAGCTCCAAATCAAGATGACTTGGAGGAGAACATGGAAATGCTGCCATTGCCATTCTATGCAGTAAAGGTTGCGGGTTTGAAAGGTGCTTCTGTAGCAGACTTGGTGAGTTGCTACAGTGCATCCTGTAGATGGTATACACTGCCATCATTGTGCACGTGGTGGGAGCAGCAGGTGGTGGGAGTGAATGTTGAAGGTGCTGCCGGCTGCATTGCCATGGATAGTGTGAAGATTCTTGAGTGTTTGTAGAGTTACACTCATCCAGACAAATGAAAGATATTCCATTATGTTCCTAGCTTGTGTCTTTTAGATGACGGATACACTTTGAGAAGCAGATGAGTTACTTGCCACAGAATTCCCACCTTTGA